AATTGGCAGGTGCAACCCGTAGTTCATTTTCGTTCTAATTAGCTCCAAGATTTATTTCTGCTTGCTGATGAGAAGTCGAGGTTCCTTCATGGGAATGGCTCCTTAGTTCAAATGAGATGCCGCGACCTTTAAATATTTACAAGACTAGTGGGAAAACGCATGCTGAATCCTAAATTAATCATGGAATGTTTCATCAAAATCGTTGCGTAATCTCATAAAAAGATAATTACAGGATCACTTACTGTGTTTGCTTTCATGGGGCCCATTCCAGCTCTGGTGGAAGCCGATGCATCACTGCAACAGCAGTGGGAACTGCCCTTTGGTTATCACTGTCAGTGCTTTGTTTTGGTGCTCGCTCCCTGGACCAGAAGGGGGTTGGGCTGCCGTGGGAGCAGCTTACTCAACCTGTACTGGACCATGGGAAAGGAAAATGGAAATAAGGAGAGTGCTCTGCATTGTTGGAGTGATCCTGCAGTGCTGTTTAATTATTGTACAACAGACACACAGTGGCTGCTCATTCCTCATCCCCTTCCCATTGCCAGCCATGGCCAGATCCTTCCTTCCTCTACACATGACTTGTGCCACGAATGCTACCTCTCAGTTGGGAACTCAGCGAGTTCCCAGCAAGTGTCTCCACAAAGCAGGTAACATCCCTGAGACTTCAGTGTTTCAAATCTGCAGGGCTCCAACTCTGCCTGGGTTCAGGGCACAAGACCATTCTTCAGACCCAGATCTCTAGCTCCCTAGTTCTTAGCTCACTGCTAGGTCACAGAGTCCATCACGGCCGGTCCCTGAGTAATAAATGCCTCCCTGTGTCCAACAGGATGGTTTCTAACTCACAAAATCTTGATACAGCTCCTAGTGGTTCATCAGTTTCAGAACCCAAATAGAATAGCCTGTAGGTTACTTAGCTAAGCTGCAGTCTTTGGATCAAGGGGATAGGGTATGTCTACACTACCCCGCTAGTTCGAACTAGCGGGGTAGTGTAGACATACCCATACAGACTAGTAGGTCTTGTTTGGATTGAGTGATCAGGCAAGTTAAATCAAACAAGGATTTAAAAGTAGCCATTCTTCTACAAAGAAATTTCACTAACCAATTGCAGAAGGGGGTCTGCAGAATTGGAATTCATCTACAGATTTGATACCGTTACCCTGGGCTTGAAGAAAGACATTAACTAGTTGGCACATTACAATGCCAATTTCTCGTGCCTTTAATATTTGCATTTCTATGTCAAAAGCTATATATGGGACACATCCAGCCCACTTAATTAGCCTCATTAACACAGGTCCTACAATTGACAGGTACTACTTCTGCTGTTATATGTATCTCTTGATTTCTTTTATTTCCGCTCCAGTTCATCTGATGAAGTGAGTTTTACCCATGAAAGCTCATGATTCTTTACATTTTGGTTAGTCTGTCAGGTGCCACAGAACTAGTTGTTATTTTTAAAGTTAGAGACTAATACAACTACCCCTCTGAGATTTGTCAGTTGTGTTTATGTTATATCTAGCCAGGATGGAAGGAGATAAATTAGTTGTCTATTGCATATGCCTAGTCATATGCAGTCAGACACAACAATGCTAATCTATGTGAGAGAATGTTAGGAACCAGCCTTAAAATGTATAGAAAGCTCTTTGAATGGAGTAACTGGCTTGTGGTTTAGGAGAATGAGTTAAAAATGAGAAGAATCACTGTAAGATACTGTGGTTCAGGTTTTACGTCACTAGGCACACAATTAATCAAACCTTGGAATATCTCTCAGGTTTCAGCTATGTACATGGCGTTCTGCTGTTTGGTGACTAATTTTGTTGGTCATGGAATTCCAGTCCTTACAACTGTGTTTTGTAAGATAGCTGGAATGACAACGGGAAGTCTCTGACTTTAAAATGCTTTACGGGAAATGGAAGGAAATCCTTCTGAAAAGGGAGGAGAGATGAAACGGTAGAGGATTATAAACATGACTTTACATTTTTAAATCAGATCCTTAGCTCCGTGATAAGGCATAATCATAATCTATTTGAATTTGCTTGAGAGAGATATCAAAACACACACGCATCTGAGAACTTTCAAAAAGTTTGGAGAGACAGTGTGCTGGAATAACAAGCTCAAACCCAAAATTGTCTGTAAATGGAATGATCCAAAGAAACCCTCAATTATGTTTGTGAAAGTACATCTAGATGAAATACATCTTTCAACATCTTAAAGGTTCTCTTTTGCCTCTGGCTATTTAAGCCAACAATTATGTATTACTTATTTGCAGTATGGTACAACCTAGAGACTCCACACGAATTCAAGTCTTTGAATTTGGCATTCTTTGTGCCAGCCAGTGCAAAGGATGTGGGATTAGGGGAAGGGAGGCACAGAGGGATGAAGCCCTGGAACACATTGGTATGAAGTCAGTGGCATAGCTAAGAATAGACCCTCCAGAGTCCCAAATGAATAGCCTAGCCACTAGGCTACCCAGCCTTGTATGCTGTGATGTGTGGGTACTTATAAAACTACACAAACTTGGTGCTTAAGCCTGACCTCATGAACTTCTAAAGTTGGTCTACTTGGCCTCTGCAGCCATGAATCTACCATACATGCTGAGAAGGAAGGAACCTCCTTTGAAGTGCCTATAGTGTAGGATACTCCCCACCATCTTCCCACTGGCAAAGTAAACTTTGTCCAGGCTGGCTAACCACATGGCCATCTGGTTTGTGGGAATAATACCAAGGCACACGCTGAGCATGTATGCTGCCTTCCTAATGCTCCCTCCCCGGAGCGTTTAGCTGATCACTCTGCAAAAGAGGTGTCATCCAGGTCATAATTAATCCCTTCTGCCTACCAAGTGAGATTCGGCTTTGAACTGAGAAGGGGAAGATTCCTGTTTCCAGCGCCTGACTAGAAATGGGAAACCTGTTTCAGCTCTGACTTTGAATTCATCCCTGTAGTCCCAACAGAATGAAAGAGGGAGGCTGAGATACCCGGTGGGTTCCCTGTGTGCCAGCAGAGAGTTCATTTACCTCAGTTCTCTGTCCCTTGAGCAACTTTTCACCTCCCGACTGTGGCATGGGTCTCCTCCCACCTTCTGTCTCCTTCCCCCACTGCATCCCTAATGTCACTAGTCCACCTCTTCAAGATAGGCCAACCAGATGCTCCACCTTCTAGATTGTTCTGACCGTACACACTGCCTGTGGCAATGTCGGCCAGCCTCGGTGTTCATCTGCAAGCCAGGGCGACATGGAACAAAAGAGGCAAAGCTGCTCTTAGTTGTAAAAATACCAGGCTACAGAACACGTCATGGTCTCACCACTGCTTCCTTTTATTCAAGATTAGCTCACCATTGCTCTCACCGGGATCAAGGCAATGATTCTCCCTCACAGATATGCAGCACTGTTTTTTTTGGAGATTGTGCTGAGAATACAATGCAATCGGTGGAACCTAACGGTCAGATTTGAAATCATCACTTTCTCTAGTTCACCACAGTTCATACAGTGCCTTCCAGATGCCCTCAACCCTCCTTTTTGTATTGGTCTCGTAGGCAGACAAGTCGACAGACTCGCCGGTCTCCTCGGGGGATGGGAGCTGACTTCGTGCTCCCTGAAGGGCGTGGCCTCAAGTGGAAGGGGCGGGGTCAGAGCAGCACCTTCAGCATCACCCACACTACGCTGCCTCCCCCAGCGCTGTCTGGAATGCATTGTGTGGGGCTCCAGTGGTGATTTACAGGGCCCAGGGCTCCGTAGCAGTGGCGCAGAGGACCTGGGGCTCTTTGAATCGCTGGACCTGAGGCAGTCCCCACCTCCCCACCCCCCCCAGTCAGCGTGGCTGCTGGTAGGTCACTGGCACACAGACAACCTGCAACAAATGAACCAGAAAGCAAAGAGGGTGAAATTATTTGCAGTAATATGTTTCCTATCTATATGCAGTGTTGAATTCAAGTCGTCATTGTCAAGTCCAAGTTGAGTCTCAAGTCACTACAGTTCAAGTCTCAAGTCGAGTCTCGAGTCCCTAAAGTCACTTTCGATTCAAGTCTCAAGTCTTAATTTAAAAAATGTCAAGTCACTTTTGTACAAGCCATCAATATCGGCATTTTCGGACAATTTTTTCACCAAGTCGATTTAACAAAATTAGCAAGTCTCAAGTCAAGTCTCAAGTCACAAACAATGAACCTGAGTCGAGTCTCTAGTTGAGTCACCTAAGCAACTTAAGTCGGACTCGAGTTCAAGTCGTGGGACTCGAGTCAACAACTCTGTCTATATGACAGATAAAATCACTCAGATTCAAACTGGGCCCGGCTCCCAGTGATAAATATAATGCAAAAGACAAAGGGGGAACTACAAGAAAACAAGGCGTTATTGGCCTGCAAGATAGGCAGTGGTCTTGACACACCAGCAGCTTAGCCACTGTCAAGTTTTTATAGGCATCATGGCAAAAACAAAGTTTTGAGAAGGGATTTGAAGGTGGCTAATGATGTGGCTTTACAGGAAATTATGGGAAATGTCTACCAAGCACACTGGGGAAAATCACAAAGATGCTTCTTCAAAAACTTAACAACTGGGAGTGGAAATTGGTACCATAAGGCAATGTGAGGTGACCACTGATAGCAAATGAGGGATTGGTCTGTCAATGGTTATTAGCCAGGATGGGTAGGAATGGTATCTCTAGCCCATGTATGTCAGAGACTGGAAATGGGTGATGGGAGAGGGATCACTTGATGATTCCCTGGTCTATTCACTCCTGCTGGGGTACCTGGCCTTGGCCACTGTTGGAGGACAGGCTACTGGGCTAGATGAGCCTTTGGTCTGACCCAATATAGCCATTCTTATGTTCTTGCGCTAATGTTCTTTGGTTAGGTGGCATGGGAACTGACTGTGAAGGGCCGTGAAAGTGAGAAGTGGTTTTTATTTGACGGAATAGAGAAGGAGTTAGTGGAGGGATTCAAAGAGAAGGTTGTTATGAGCTAGGAAAATGATCTTCGAGCAGCAAGAAGACATTTTTCCAGGCCAGCGAGAAGGATGTTGCAGAAGATGAGACTTGAAGATGAAGAGCTCTCGGATGAGAGTTTTTACCTTGGAGATGTTATGGAGAAGGAATCCACAATACTTAGATCTAGTCTGGATGTAAGGACCTAGAGGGAGTCTGAGCTGAAAATGACACTCAGATGTCAGGTCTGACGGACGTGCTAGAATATGGTGTTGTCCACAGTGACCAAGAAAGGAGCAGCGTGGAGGACTCGGAGAGGGAAAACTAACAGCTCTGTCAAACTTGAGCAAACTGCTCGACATCCGCAAGGAGCTATTGGAGACAGGCTGAGGTTTTAGTTTGGCCAGAAGAAGACCAGTCTGGATAATAGAGGTAGACCTCAAAGTCCCCAGCATATAGAGACAGTAGCTGAATTTGTCTCAGCAGATGAGATTACCCAGAGATAAGGGATAGAGGGAGAAGGGATCAGGATGAAGCACGGAGCCCCATGGAATGCCCACAGAAAGTTGGAAAGTGGACAGAAAATCTGTCTCTAATTTCTTTTTCTGAGAAAGAGGTTTCCGAGGAATTTTAAGGAAGCCTCTGGGGCACTAGCTGGACTTCTCTGAGTTCTTCAGTAACCAGTGACTAGAGAAGTAGATTGGAATGACTGAACTAAAACCACAGAAGTGGTAGAGACAGTTTCAAGAGTGAAAAAAAATCTCAGTCTGGGATTTCCCTTTCAAAGCGCTTGTTATAAAAAAATCCCAATCGAATGCCAGAAAATTAAAAGTGCTTCTGAAGAATTCTGTGTTCCTCGCGGAAGCTGTGCTCTCATTAATGGCTTTGCCAACACCTGCACAAAGCATTGCCGCATGGGGACAGAGTGAGAGTTAATGATTTGGAAAAAAGCTAGGAAAGCAAATGCTAACGGGCTTAACCATCATCTGCTGTACATTGGTGCGGCAATATTAGTCAGTGGAGCTGTGTGTCGGTTTTAACTAGCAGAGGATCTGGTATGTACCCGGATCCTTCACAGCAACAATTATCTTGTTATTACTGGACATTCTGTATAGTTCTTATGGGGTGTAGTTAATAAATACAAAATATCAGAGAAGCAAGAATAAAATGTATTACACACAGCAACAAGGGTGAAGTGACATCACTGTAGAAACCCTACCATTTGACTCTCTTGACTTGTTCTGTTTTTAACTGGGCCGTCTCAGCATTGTGTTAATGTAGTGTTTTGCATTTTAATAGCATCATAATGTGCTTTATTTTTTTCTGAGTAAATGCAGTTATTTAGCTCTTCCGGTTCAGCTGCTGATCCCACATAAGCAACACAGAAAAAGATTTTATGCATAGTGTAATGCGACTTCCCAGTGCAATCATAGAAGGATAGGGACCTTCGGAGGTCATTGAGTCCAACCCGTTACTAAAATTGATCTCCATGACATATAGAACCATGGCACTCCAAAGACACTGGCTGAGGAGCTCTGACAGGCAATGCCAAAGATCACTACATCTAGACTGTAGGTTCTTGTGAAAGATGCTTTTATCAGAAGAGATCTTCTGCAAAACCTTCTTGCACAAGAGCGCATCCATACTGCAAAAGCGCATCGAAAAAGCGATGGGCTTTTGTAAAAGAGAGCGTTCAGACTGCATGGACATGCTCTTGAAAGTAAGCTCTGATTGCTATGCACAGAATGGCCACCAGGGCACCTGGGCTTTTCCCTCTTTCCTCTTTTTGTGCAAAAAACCCCTCTTCCCTATCCACACACACCTTTTTGCAGAAGAACTCTTTCGCAAAAAGGCGATCTTCCTCGTAGAATGAGGAATACCTATGCTGGAAAAACCCCTCTGTTCTTTTGAATTTTTTTTGGCGCAAAAACGTGCTTGAGCTGTGGACACTCCGCGAGATTTTTTCAGAAAAACAGCCGTTTCCTCCCAAAAACTGTAATGTAGACATAGCCTGGGGGAATAGATCAACTTGATCCTGTATCCTTCTTCAAAGACATGAGCATCTTTCTGACCTATGGAAATACACATGTGCCAGCTCTGTATCAGGCTAGCCAGTCCAGAATAAATGCAGTGCTCACTGAACAAGTGAGTAATTGGGTCATTTCCTACCCATGAAGATGCTGATGAAGTCACCAATAAGCTCAACCATTTTGCATTAATGTTAGGTACAGCTTAGACAGACTTCTGTCAAGGATGATAGCGCTTGGGTGTGCCGTGAGGGCAGGGGAATGGACTTGACCTCTTGAGGCTCCTTCCAGTTCTAGCATTCTAGGATTCTAATAGTCTATATTTTCCCAAGACCTTTAAAGATGTTTTATGACATGTTAAAGTGTTGTGTTTTTTTAAAAAAGCATGGACAGGGCATAGATATTTGCAGAAGATTGCTCTTTTATTTCCCCCCTTTCCTCTCTTCCTTCTAATTTTCCCTTTGTGCAGCTGCTGCTGTTGCCAGGCTCTCTTTGTTGCTATGGTGTTGTTTTGTGTGCCAGAATTTTATATTCACTCTTGAGTCACCTGATAACTTAAATGGCACAGCCACTCTGTCTGCTCCCTCCTATAACGATACAGGATATATCCAGACTTCAGCAAGCCAATCTTATTTATGTATGACATCTAGTGAGTTGATCAAATTAAACAGAAGTCTATTCCACCATGCCCTGTTCCTGGGGTCACAAAATGATTCATTTAACATGTGTGAATTATTTTAGTGAGAGGGATTGACTGAAAAAAGATCTATTAGGGTATGTCTACACTACCCTCCTAGTTCAAACTAGGAGGGTAATGTAGGCATACCGCACTTGCAAATGAAGCCCGGGATTTGAATTTCCCGGGCTTCATTTGCATAAGTGGGGCTCCGCCATTTTTAAATCCCCGCTCGTTCGAACCCTGTGCCGCGCGGCTACACGCGGCACGAACTAGGTAGTTCGAACTAGGCTTCCTAGTTTGAACTACCGTTACTCCTCGTACCCTCAGGGTATGTCTACACTGCAACACTATTCAAAATAACTAGCACTATTCTGAAATAACTTAGTCCACATCTACACAGCAGGGGCTCCCCGCTTATGCAAATGAAGCCCGAGAAATTCAAATCCCGGGCTTCATTTGCAAGTGCGGTATGCCTACATTACCCCACTAGTTTGAACTAGCGGGGTAGTGTAGACATACCCTTAGGGAGAGGGCATGGGAATTTTTACTTTTCCTGGGTTTATTTTTCATAAGATGTCCATGAGAGGGTTTCACTGTACACTGCAATTTACTCATGAAATTGTACATGGATCCTACTCATGAAATTGCTAGACTATTTTCTTGGCATTTTTATGAGAAGATTTAGGGCCAAATCTTGCAAATTGTCCTATTGGAGTAAGTGGGTCTACTTGTTTGAGTAAGAAAAACGTGCTTTGCTCCAATTCACAATATAATTAAGATGATGCAATTTAAAAAATGTAACTTAATTTGTCTTTCATATTTGATCCACAAACACTTAGGTGTATGCTTCAAGTTGAGTGTATGAATAATTTCATTTACTTCAGTGGACAGGTCACATGCTTCAAACTAACCATGTATGTGTGTGTAAGACTAAGGCCTTTATTTGTTTCTTTAAAGAGTAGTTAACCAAAATGCATCTTTTGAAATTCAGATACACTCAGGATAACATCTCTGGTTGCTATTTAGCATTTAGGTCTCCGAAAGCAGGATAAAGGAACCGTATTTCTTACATATTTCCCTTTACACTTTATGGCATAGGCATCCAATATCTTTCTTATAGCTTCATTTAATCTGATTTAGAACTATGTCATCTGTTACTTAAGTCAATGCTGATTAGCCTGTCTGCAGATGTTTACATACATCTGCATATGTGAACCTGACACACACTGTACAGTGGATTCTCTCTCAGTTACTTAACTTTATGCACAAAGTAACTTAACTTTGACCACAGGGATGGTCTAGACAGTATTTGATCCTGCCGTGAGGGCGGGGGTCTGGACTCGATGACCTCTCGAGGTCCCTTCCAGTCCTAGTATTCTATGATTCTGTGATTCTATGTTCACAATATAAACATGATGTGCTTGCATCAGCAATGGGCTGATCCTGCAGGCTGGATTCAGTTTGCCGGGATTAGCCCCTGCTGAGCCGCCACTGCTGTATTTATCTGCGCTTGCACAGGTTTGCAGCTCCTATTGGTCCCAGTTTGCCATTTCCAGCCAATGGGGCTGCGTCTAGACTGGCAAGTTTTTCCGCCAAAGCAGGTGCTTTTGCAGAAAAACTTGCCAGCTGTCTACTACACTGGCTGCTTGAATTTCCACAAGAACACTGACGATCTCATGTAAGATTGTCAGTGTTCTTGCGGAAATACTATGCTGCTCCCGTTCGGGCAAAAGCCCTCTTGTGCAAATGCTTTTGCGCAAGAGGGCCAGTGTAGACAACGCAGTATTGTTTTGTTCAAAAAAGCCCCGATTGCGAAAATGGCGATTGGGGCTTTCTTAGGCAAAACCACATATAGATTGGCACAGACGTTTTTCCGCAAAAAGTGCTTTTGTGGAAAAGCGTCTGTGCCAATCTAGACACTTTTTTCCACAAATGCTTTTAATGGAAAAACTTTTCTGTTAAAAGCATTTGTGGAAAATAATGCCAGTCTAGATTATGCCTACATTACCCCACTAGTTTGAACTAGCGGGGTAGTGTAGACATACCCTTAGGGAGAGGGCATGGGAATTTTTACTTTTCCTGGGTTTATTTTTCATAAGATGTCCATGAGAGGGTTTCACTGTACACTGCAATTTACTCATGAAATTGTACATGGATCCTACTCATGAAATTGCTAGACTATTTTCTTGGCATTTTTATGAGAAGATTTAGGGCCAAATCTTGCAAATTGTCCTATTGGAGTAAGTGGGTCTACTTGTTTGAGTAAGAAAAACGTGCTTTGCTCCAATTCACAATATAATTAAGATGATGCAATTTAAAAAATGTAACTTAATTTGTCTTTCATATTTGATCCACAAACACTTAGGTGTATGCTTCAAGTTGAGTGTATGAATAATTTCATTTACTTCAGTGGACAGGTCACATGCTTCAAACTAACCATGTATGTGTGTGTAAGACTAAGGCCTTTATTTGTTTCTTTAAAGAGTAGTTA